AACAACCCCCCAAATTTGAATAGGGAATAGGGGTCGTGTCATATCTCTTTTTAGAGGTCTCATCGAGTTTTTTATGGCCCTAGAATTTCATCTTATTATTTTCATCCGTAACGAAATGACAGCTTGTCAAAATCTTGGAAATGGACTATGTTTTAGTAGGAGTAAAAGCGGTACTTACCTCCCTTAATAAAAATACGAGTGAAAATACCTATAATTTACAATTCTCGTGTACACCTCATTAATAATAATAAGAAAAAACTTCATTTCAAGTATTTTTATTATGGGAGGTAAGTATCGCTTTTGCTCCCACTAAAACTAATAGTCTATTTCCAAGATTTTGACAAGCTGTCATTTCGTTACGGATGAAAATAATGAGACGAAATTCTAGGAGCATAAATAACTCGATGAGACCTTTAAAAAGAGATATGACACGACCCCTATTTCCTATTCAAACTTGGGGGGTTGTTCTCCCCCTAGCTATGGGGTTAAAGCTACGGGGATGAAAAAAACTGAAAAATAGTTCCCCCTCAAATAAAAAATCGACGTGTCCGAGCGTTTTCCCAGATTCTCATCCCAAACCCAATAAATCGGGGTGGACTGTTTTCCCTGGGACACCCTGTATAGTATTATGTGCATCTATTAACCAGTATTCCTGCCTGAGAGCAAATGCTGCCGGAAATATCTTTTAACAAATTATTAACAAATTGAAAAAAACGTAACACTACCCCCATCGAGTTATGCCCTAAGTAGGGTATTAGATTGAAGGTCTCGATCTCCCCTATCTATTGTTAGTCCAGGAGGCAGTGAAATTTTTCAGCACTTATTTTCCCAGTTGGTGTCTATTAAATAGTTTGTTCTCCTGGTGATACAAAGCAAGAATTTTTGAGTCTGGCTAAAATTTTCGGATGGGTTCACAAGATCGATGAAAAATACAAGTAGGCTTATTTTCCGAGATATAAATATTTCACATTTACTACAATAGAACATAAAGTACCTGAAAATAGCAATTTGGCTTATCTCAGATAGTGAAAGTGAGTCTGGCTGAAATTTTTAGGATCTTCAATTTTTCACTTGCCAGACATATTATCCATACTAACAGATTAGCCGGACTATTTTTTTAAGTAACGTCAGTATACTTCTCATTAGTAGACCTATTTTTATCACTGAGAAAAAAAAGAACCGTGTATTGGTAAGCTTTAACGCATTTTGCGCCTCAACCCATCGGAAAACCCCCCCTAAAAATATATGTATTTTGCTTAGAATTACTAACCCTACAATTCTATCCATCTTTTCTGACTGGGAAAATAAGTACCGAAAATCGTCACTGCCTCCTAGACTATGTGTAGTTATTTTATGAATTATTTTGCATTTTATTTCTTAGTTACTTTTCAAGTTGTATATATTCTGTACTATTGTAAACTAGCAATTTTTATGCTAAATAAAGGATTTAATAATAATAATAAAAAGTCGATCCTGCCTCATGAGAACTTGCCGGAAAAGGGTGGCAGGACAGCTTATTGGGGCAAGGGCCCGCGGTTTCTGCTTTGACACCTATCAAGCTTTTTACTAAATCAGAGTACTAAATGATGTGTCAAATTAAAGGTGTCAATAAGTTGATCTAAGGTCTGTTCGCACAGAAATCACAAACCAGTCAGAGTGAATGTCATTGGTTGGAAACAGTCAGGAAACTAGTTTCAAACAATGAAATTCACTCCTTCTGGTTTGGGATTTCTGTGCGAAGAGACCTTAAATCAACTTATTGACACCTTTAATTTGACACATCATTTAGTACTCTGATTTAGTAAAAAGCTTGATAGGTGTCAAAGCAGAAACCGCGGGCCCTTGCCCCAATAAGCTGTCCTGCCACCCTTTTCCGGCAAGTTCTCATGAGGCAGGATCGACTTTTTATTATTATTATTAAATCCTTTATTTAGCATAAAAATTGCTAGTTTACAATAGTACAGAATATATACAACTTGAAAAGTAACTAAGAAATAAAATGCAAAATAATTCATAAAATAACTACACATAGTCTAGGAGGCAGTGACGATTTTCGGTACTTATTTTCCCAGTCAGAAAAGATGGATAGAATTGTAGGCAGCATTTGCTCTCAGGCAGGAATACTGGTTAATAGATGCACATAATACTATACAGGGTGTCCCACGGTGGATGGCGTATTAGACGTTTATGGAGAACTAAAAAGCGGATCATTTTGAAAATTTGGCAAGCGGGATAAACGACCATGATCTACACTTTAAAAATATTTTTGACCATGCGGTGTTGCCGCTTCTACTCTAAACTAGTGGCAACATCACTATTTTAAATGGAACACCCCGTATTAAATTGCATATTTGGATTCTACGTAAAATTCTAAGCAGATTTCATGTGATATACCCTATACCTAAGTTCAACTGTTTTGGAAATATTGACAGTTGAAAATGGACTTTTTGCAACTTTGACAGGCTGTAGAACCTGAACGGTTAATTTTAGAGGAAAACCGATTTTACATTCCTATCTTCGATTTTTATAAACTATCATTTGACACCAACTGTTACTGGGCTTTGTGAAGGTCCATTATTTATCGTAATTTGTTAATATATTGTAAAACTTTGTTTATATTGCTGTTAAAAAAGTGTTTACTTTCACCCCAGTGGTGACTGGCTTTGGGTAAATGTAAACGCGGATTTGGGGTAAATGTAAATAGGTGTATTTAGTCTAAAATTAACAAAAACCTAAAAATTATGTCCTTTTTTTTGTTTAAGATGCCTAGAAATTATATTTAAATGCCCAATGGTCCTTCATACACACAACAAGATTTACAACGAGCCATAGAAGACATCCAAAATCGTAATAAAACATGCCGACAAGCTCAGGCTTTTTATGGCGTTCCCATTGCTGTTATTTGCCAAAGAGTCTCTGGAAATAGAAGGACTGCCATAGGGCGGTTACACACGGACGTGGATGTCTAAATATATATACGTGCATACATCAACGTGCAAACAACAACGTGCATGGCGCTTTTGTACAGACGCTCGCACAAAACTGCAGTCTTGCTATTCTTGCTACAGTATTCCGAGTGTGCATACAAAATTGCACATTCAAAAACGCGAAGATATTTTGCATACACATTGATGTTTTTGTTTGCGCGTTCATGTATGTGCGTACATGTTTTCAGACATCCACGTCCGTGTGTAACCGCCTATAGATTGTATTTTTCATTGGTATTTTCTGAGGAAGAAAAACAGCGCTTTCAGCAGAAATTGCTAGACTTTTACCTGTGCCCATGATAAAAAATAAGGAAACCCGCATATTTTACCATTTTGTTAAAAAAAAATCCTGTTTCTGAAAAGTAAAAAAATTTTTAATTACTCTGTAGATTGTAATCATTTTATTATCTATTTTGTTTTTAATAATCTATACCAAAGTCTGCACTGAAGTATTAAAAGTTATAGAGCTTCTGTTTTAGGTACTTATATAATATTTAAAACTTGGAAAAAATTTGTTTTTTTTTTTTGCTTTTAAGTAGGTACTTATAGTTCGCCTTAAGAGTCTAGCACTAGGACGTCTGAAGGGCAAGGGGGAATAACGCCATTCATTTCGAGCTTTATGCTGCCTGTCATAGGCGTGCGCGCAGCGTTTTAAAATATTATTTTTTCCTTATAAATGTAGGTTTGTAACATAGATAAATATTAGGGTATTTTCTATTGGATGTCTAATATGCAATATTGCAATTTTTTTAGCCGCATTCTTTCCATAGTGCTAGACTCGTAAGGCGAACTTTACCTCAAGAGTGTTTTTAGTTTTAGTTTGGGTTGTATTCATATTTTCTGTAGTTAACTTAAGTTTAGATGATTTTACTTATATGTCTTTATTCACTTTTACTTTTAACAATAAAGACTCAAAAACACATGGGTATATATTGTTATTAATTTAATAATCTAATTCTGGGGTAATTGTAAACATCGTTTGAGATATTTATACTTCTAAAAAAACGGATTATCGATTTGTTCACATTTTCCCTTTTGTAACCATATTAAAATGAAATGTACAGATATGGAGTGTTTACATTTATACCCCCAATGTTATGGGTAAATGTAAACACCACACCTCTTTTTAAGGACTTAAAATAAAAAAGAAATATTGTCTTTTTGGAAGTTTTTATATTAAATATCCAAACTAAATACATGAAATAAAAGGCTAACTGATATTTATTGATTGCATCTTGAATAATAAGAGGAACAAAAAATTTTTTTGGGAAATTGTAAACAAAGTTAATAAAAGCGTTTACATATACCCCAGTTGACCCTAATTGTTCAATTTGTTACAGCTCCATTTAGTATTTTTCTGTAGTGTGCACTTTAAACAGACTAAATAAATACTTAAATATACCAGTAATAAGGCACGTATTGACTAGTTTAGTTAATATTGTAACAACGTCGTTCTGTATATTAAGTATATCCCGGGCTGTTATTTGGTCATGACAAGGAGCAGAAGTCTTCTTTAGATGTAATATAGTACTAGTAATTTCTTGTTCATCATGAAGTGCTGAAAAAGCTGTATTGTTATGTTAAATTCATTCATTTTTGCCCTGAGGCCCCCCCAAACTAGCTATGTGGGTATTTATCTCATGTACAATGTTTTTACCTACATTTTTATTTATTAGACTATTTATGAACTGCCACTGTTTTCTAGTGTCAGTCCCACATTTGTTAATAATTCCTAATCGGTGTAAAAATTTTGTTAGGGGAAAACCCCTTCGCACAGTACCAATTTCTTGTCTGCTGCCACTCTGACTGAAAATTTGATTTCCTTGGATTATTGAAATTAAACTCCTCAAATATTGCCCCCAAAGGCCAGATCCCTTCATACTTTTAAACTGGACAAATTGTTGAATCATTACTATGGATGTAAATTGCTGGCGAGAAAGCAAAATGCAATGCAGCGAATTTTTGTTGATGTTCCGGTTATTTTGCTTATCTACAAGTTACCTACTTACTTACCCTGTGAGGACTGCTGAATTGTTTTTACCCAAAACCGAAGAATTGTTAGTGACTGTTTGCCCTATAAATTTGGAAATCTACTAAAAAGTAAAAAGGGGTTTGGATTTGTTTGCCATTGTTTCGTTTATTTTCAGTTGTTTTTGTTTCTTAGAGGCGGTTTCTTTATTGTTAAAACAACAAATGCAAGACAGAAAATTGTAGACACCGAAACCCGCACCTCACATAAAAACTTGGAACCAACAAACTGGAAACAGGAATAATGGAAAATGGAATTCAGGAATTCACTAGGAAATTTTGAACTTGATTGAAATGGTAAAAAGACGGTAAAGTTGAGGAGAGGAGGAGTACCCTTGTTGATGTTTAAAAATTGAAAGTTGACAAATGGCAAAAAAAAAGGACATGACATTCATGACATTGAATTGACAAAGCTGGGCTGAGTTCGAAAACGCCGCTGGAGTTAAGGCCCCCACAGACTGCGTTTTTGTTTAACGGTTTTGTTCGACGAACAAATCTGGTCGAGCAAAAACGACGGATCGGAGTTGCCTATAGACCTCGGTTTAGTTTGGCGAAGATCAGTCATGTTGAAAAGTTTTTATTTTTTTTTGTTTTTTGTTTCAATAAGTTAATAATATAAAATTCTGTAGCTACGTAACACACACGACACAAAACCGTCGTTTTTGACATTCGTAGCCCACACACTTCAGATTTGTTGACAAAACGAACATATCCGACGGACAAAATCAGGCAAAGCCAGATATTTGCATCGGTTTTGTATGCAAGCAAAAATGACAATTTTTTGCCCACACACTTCGGTTTTGCGACATTTTTGCTTGACCAGGGGGCGGATTGCGAACTCTCGATTCGAACCGAAACCGCCATGGATTTCGAACGCATTCTGATGCATTTGCATTGCATGGAGTGCGTTCGAAATCCATGGCGGTTTCGGTTCGAATCGAGAGTTCGTAATCCGCCCCCAGATTTGCTCGTCGAACAAAACCGTCCAACAAAAACGCAGTCTGTGGGGCCCTTTAGAGTAGAGTGGAAGTGGAGCGGCATTTTCATGGAATTACACTATTGTTTGTGTGAAACCGAATAGTCAAGGGACATTTGGGGCCTTAAAAAACTTGATATAAAAAAATAGTAAAATATTTGGTCAGAAAAATGTCAAATTGCACCAAGTCTATGGTTGAACCAAATCCAAGCGGCAGTAAATGACAAACTGGTCATTTTCATTACAACCTATCAAATGTCCTCCATGCATGCGCACTGGTCCAGGTAGGGCGTTTCAACCATTCAACCAATTGGAAGGCTGTGAGCCGATTAAACGCGATGGAATATTAATAACCTAGTTAAAAATGGTATTACCATTCACGTAAACGCGGTTTTGGTTATTTTTGATCATTCGGTAGTGACGTCATCATTTGGCCCTTTGTGACGTATTGAATCAGCTGTTTTTATCTTTGGTTCAACCCAATGAACTATAACCAAAAACTGGAATGCGAACACATATGGCGAACGTGAGGCCTAGTGCGGCTGCTGCGGAGGGGATACCTGTTTTTGTCGCACTCATTATGTTAAATGGCGAAAATTGCTTCCAACACGTATTCCAATTGATGAAACCTGTGAAGGGAAATATGACAAAACTTTCGAAAACGTCATATGTCAGCGAGCAACAGAAAAAAACAACATTCCCCCTTGTGGCATCTGTCTTTCATGGCTTCATTTTTTTGGCAGATATGGCAATGTGTGCGCATTCCAGTTTTTAGCTATAGTTCATTGGTTCAACCATTTTTAACCTACCTCTGGCTAGGTTATTATGTTCTGTCCTTGTCTGAAAAAGTAAATAAAGGAGAAATACCCGAAATGGCGGATTTTGACGGGTTTCTCGTTGTTCTGTTGTGTTTTGTATGTTGTATTTTTTTGTGCAACTCCAAAAAATGAACTTCGAACTGATCGAAAAATCAATCTTTGAAGATTTGATCTAGGTTAACACAAAACTAAACACTAAAACTTCACCAAATAATAAACATAATAATAATGTATAGGGATGGCAAAAATATATCGATATTTTGTAAATATCGATATATTTCTCAAATATATCGATATAATTTAATCGATATTTTACATTCGATATATCGAAAAAAATATCGATATAATCTTTTCGATATATCGGAAATTTTAAAATAATTCTTGACTCGTGCGCATATTTCATTTGTTGACTGTGACAGTCTGACAGTTGACAATGACGGCTAAAATAAAACAAACGTCAGTTAGGGCCTGTACATACCAACTGAATGAGGAGAAGAGACTTTCCGCATGATTAAAAATAGTTATTTTCCTAACAAGTGCGCAAAGTGTTACTTATCCGCTTCGCGTCATTCGTATAACTGTGTTTGCGTGCGGAAAAGACACTTTGCGCAAGTGTTAGGAACAACATTTTTCCTACGAGCTTCATATCAGGTAGGTAACAAGTAAAATTTAAAAAAAAAAAACGATAATTTGTTCAATTATTTTTAATTAACTTGAAGCGAACCTATACATTATTTATCAAAAAATTACCTGACAAAAAAAAAATAACAGAAAATCCTCGTCAGAGCTGTTCATCTTAAAACGTTCAAATTTGATGATAAAGTTTGTAGATTCTTGCATATAAATAGAGAACAAATCTGACAATGTGTCAAGGTTAATTTATATGGTGTTTGTATTGATGTTGGCTGATATAGAAACAGAGGAAAAATTTGTCATCATGCGTCAAAGTCGACAGGTGCAGTTATCGTTGTTCAACAATTATTTTTACCACTTTTTGGCACCCAGTGCGGTTACAGAACTTATCCGCACTGAGTGCGGAAAAGTGTAACTTTGAGCCCGGAAATGCGTGCGGAAAAGTACTACTTTGCGCACGCTCGTAGGAAAACGTTATTTTTCTACGATCGTGCGGAAAAGTACATTTCCGCGCGCATTTTAGAATATGAAAGTATCAGGGTGACCTAACATTGCATAATTATTTTACTTTTCCACACTAGTGCGGAAACGTGATATTTTCATGGCCTAAAATGCGTGCACTTTTCGCACGCTCGTAGAAAAAAATAGAAAAATAAAATATATATCGATATATTCGAAATATCGATGTTTTCTGTTCGATATATCGAATGTATCGATATGTTATTTCGATATATCATATGATTCGATATATCGATATATTTTTTTATTTTGCCATCCCTAATAATGTACCTTACTTTAGGTGAAAATTTAACAAAAAACAATCACAAGACAGAACAGAACGGAATAAACAAAAAAATTGGGGTTAACGGAATAACCATAGCATAAACGCGAGCTCTCAGGTTAATCAAAAAGGGTCGACAATCGCTGTTTCAAAGATAACCAAAGGACTGACCAAAGATATAACCGCGGTTAACAATATTCCATCGCGTTTAATCGGCTCTTGGTGTTTGTTGACAATTTAGGTTATTTAATGCAGTGATGCCAATCTAGGGAATTTATCCCTAGATCCAGGGATATTAACACTTATTAGGGATTGAGGGAAGATTTTCCAGAAACCAGGCCAAACTAGGGATATTTTTTTGTTAGCTTTCTGCTGTGGTATCACTGGTATTTACTGTTTAATTAGATTTATTGCATTCTTTTTTACCGGTTGATGCATTGATAAGCATCAGTCTATCTTTGTCTAGTTCATGGAAAATCGGAATGACTCTCTCATAATGGTGGATAAATCGATGAAAAAAAAGCGCCTCTTGTTAGGTACTCCAACCATTGCTCCAACCTCAAAGAAAACAAATTAGCTAATTGTCAATAGTGTCATTCCTATTCCTGCCAATATTTTTAATTTTCCAATTTTTTATGGCAACATTGAAAATCAGGAGTCATCAAATTAAATTGCGATCATGTTTAGCCATGCAGGGCTATGTGAATGGGCGATATTAAAAGAAGGGGAAAACCGGGGAGGAATATATGAGCCATTTTTCATTTTTGCCTGATCTAGGGATTTTTTACTTTGGAGTAGGGATTTTTCACATCAGTGAGTTGGCATCACTGATTTAATTTCATTTACTGCCGCTTGGATTTGAAAATGGTATAGAGCTGGAGCACTAGCAAAATTTCCGTGCGTTAGTTATTTTGGTCTGAGTTCTCCGAGCATGACTTTACCGTTCGTTTATTTTAAAAGTGTACTCGGTGCACGCTCTGCTCTTCGAGCAAAATACCGAACGCAAGGTTTGTAGCACCCGGGGCATTCGGGGCAACAATTGCTGCACTATTGACTCTGCACTAAAATGACAACGTTTTCACTTTGCACCAAATTATCGAACGCAGCCCAGAGAAGCTTTTCTCATTTCTGTTTGATTGAGGTTATGTTTATTGTTAAAGATTTTTTTAAAATTTGAAAATTTCCTTACTATTTTATTTATTTTTCAAATTAGTATAAACAAGAGGCAAAAATGTTAATAAACTCGTTTTGGTTTGTTTAATTTGAAAGACAAGCTCCTGCTTTCTGCAATGGCTAAGTAAGTTTATATTTTTTTAATTGGGTTACCTACTTCAAAAGGAAAGGGTGGCTATGGTCAATTAAGCATAAACTTGATAAAAGTTTGATGACCCCTCTTTTTTTGACCTAGAAAGGTCTGCTAATTACAATATCTGTTTAATTAAGTTGAAGGGGTTTCAACCATATTTTCATTTTTTGGGTAGTCTTCTCAGAAATCCCAATATATGGTCCTTCTTGGCCTACTATGTTGTTTTCACTCTGATTCATTGTGTCTATGCACCAAAGTCGCCCCTTTTTCTTCTCCAACTGACTATACCTGAAATTTGTATTTTGCTCTATTCTCTATCCATAAACCTTTTTCTTCTCTATCTGACTCTAATCCTGAATTTGCATGTTGCTCTATCCATTTAGAGCCTTTCTGCAATGGCTCTTTAAAGTTTTTATCTTCACTACTCTTGAGATACTCTCTGATAAGTCTTTTAATCAATTTTTCCAAACATTTTTGAGTCTATTTAAAACTTAAAAGACCAGAAGTTTTAGCTTGGGTCTAAACCTGAACTTAAAAGTATCTCAAGCCTTCTTAAATGTTCCTGGAAGATCGGAAGTGTACTGGTCGGCTCTAGAATGTTTTTGAAAATCTAATTTGATTTTAAAGTGTTCTGTAGTGTTTTAAAATGTTCTTGAAAGCTCCAATTTGTCTAAAACAAATACAGGAGGATTGAAAATTAAATTGAAAGTCTCCTAAAGCTAATCAATGTTCTAAATTTATTCTAAAGTGCTCTAGAGTGTCTCAAAATGCTTGAAAGTGTTCCAAATTGGCTGAAGC